ACCTTGCAAAGACTCGTGTGCAAATATTCACGGCAGTTTTACTTGTAAGAGCCCGACACCCATCGGCAGGTGGATGGATAAATAGACTGCGCTCTATCTGTGTGATGGAGTACTACTCAGCACTGAAAAGGAACACACTGATTTGTGTAACAACATACATTCATCTCAAATAGGCTGAGTGGAAGAGAATAGATCCCCAAACAGTTCCATTTACATAAAGTTCTAGAAAGAATGAGTGAATTGACAGTGGGCAGTTGAGCGGTTATGGGTCGGGGTGGGCAAAGGCGAACTATGCAGGGGCGAGAGGACAGTGCGAGAGGTGCCCTCAGCGTGTTCCGGGGCCACACAGACGACTTACCAAATAGCACACCTGACACACGTGCAGTGTGTTGCACGCCAGTCACACCCCAACAAAGCTGTTAGTGAAGCAAGGACACAAATGGCAAGATAACGACAGAAGATAAGATGTTTTGCTGGGATGTTGGGATTACAAGACATTTCCTTTGTCCTCCAGTCTTGTTCCTTTCCAGCATTGTTTTGGCTCCACTAGGTCCATACACATTTTAGAACCAACTTCAAAAAAGCCAGTTAGAACTTTGGTTGGAATTGAGGGGACTCTCCCGGGACTCTCCCGCCACCTGCCCCGCCGGCCCTCCCCCAGCTCTGCAGCTGCAGCCGGTCCCCCCCCAGACGGTGAGCAACTGCCCTGAGGGTGAGCAGGATGATGCCCTGAGTTCTGCCTTCACCCATCCAGGGCTCCCAGCCCACGGCAGCCATGCTGAGGACAAGTCTGGGGCAAAGTTCCAAGAGCTCGAAGGCTGTGGTTTAACCAGCTCTTAACCACAGGATTCCGATGGAGCAGGCGGCTCACAATCTCTCTCCTGTGGCCAGGCTGCCGGCACAGCTCCCTGGTCACAAACACCCCCAGGGCTCTTCTGAGTCGTGGTTAGAGGTGGGGGTTGGCAGGGCTGGAGGGCCCAGGCTGCACTTGTCTCACCTGAGCCCAGGCCAACATCCTCCACTGGGTCCACGCTGCGCCTGGACGGGGAGGCTGCCCTGCCGTGCTCCCCCCACCCCTGCTCCCTCTTTCCTGCACATTGGGCAGGGGCCTCGGCTGCTCCCCAGGACTCAGCTCCTCCCCAGGTGTCTCTGTCCAGTGTGTGTGCTTTCAACACGTATGGCAGAGCTCGCCCCTCCTGCCCTGCGTTCCTGCCTCTCAAACGCAGGGCTGCTCTTTTTCCTTGAAACCCACACTGAGGAGCAATGTGGGGAGAGTCATCCTGCTGTGACAGCCCCTGGGGCAGCGCAGGTGCAAGGTGGCTCGCCACCATCTTCTGAAACCCCTGTCCCTTCTCTGAGTATGCGTCCCCAAAATGCCTACTGAAATCCTAACCCTCGTGCAGCGGTGCTGGAAGGTGGGACCTGGGAGGTCACGAGGACTGGGTCCCCAGGAACGGGGCCGATACTCTCGTAACAGGCGCCCCAGAGCACTTGAACGTCCCTTCTGCCACGTGAGGACTTGGCCTCCAGCCTCCAGCACTGCCACATACATTTCCGTTATCCTAAGCTGCCCAGTCCGTGGTATGTGTTACAGCGGCCAGAGGGACCGAGGCACTGGGTCGTGGGCTCCCCTGCAGGGTCCTTACTCAGCCCGCGGCCTGGAAGAGCAGTCCCTGCCAGCTCCCCCGGATGCCAGCCACCCCCAGTCAGGAGGCTATGGGAGAGGCAGCGAGGTGTGGCCTCAGGATAAGGCCCAGGTGGTGGGAGGCGGGGGCACGAGAAGCCAAGGTGCTCTGTGGACCCCTGGCAGAGGGACACTGCATCTGTGACACTGCTGAGCAGGGTGGAGAGTGGGGACACATGTGGGCCCGCCTCGCAGCAAATACACAGCGAGAAAATCAAAGCATACTTGGGGGTCGGGGTGGGGAGGTGACTGCCCCAGGCTTGGTCGCCAGGCCCCCGTCGACGTGCAGAGCCAGGGCAGCCACCTACCTACCTTGATGCTGGTCTGCACCTGAGGGTCCTGGGCCGGCTTGGTGGCCGGGGGACGCCACTCCGCTGTGTGGTGAGGGCCCAGTCCTGCCAGGGGCGTCTCTGCAAAGACTCCAGTCAGTCTCCTCCCAGAGCCAGTGCTGACGCCGGGCTCACCAGGCCAGTCCACAGAAATCGTTCTCCAGTGCCAGTGTGACTCCTGACCCTTGGTTCCAATCCATTAGCGCTCGATGTGGCAATGCACGGGGACCCTCTGCTCCTTGCCCCGCGCTGAAGGGAGACCAGGCCCTGCTCACGTGGCCACAGAAGGACCCACGTCTCCGCAGCCCAGATCCAAGCGACAATCTGGTACCTCGAGGCCCAGATACCTGGGTGCACAGCAGGAGAAGAGACGGCCAGACTGGGCTGGGTCTGAGCCCGTCCATCCGGGCAGGGGCAGGGGTCGTGTCATCAGCTAGAAACGCGACAGGACACCAGGCGCCGGACTGGCATCCTGGCCGCTAGGCTCCCCCTCCAACTCCAAGTAAGAGAGTAAGATCGCAGGTCCGGAGACGTCCCCAGGGCGCCAGCCGTCGGGAGGGGCGGCCACAGTGGAGAAAACGTCTGGGGACAGCATGGTGGGGGGTGGGAGCACGGGGGAGGGATCGGCAAGACCGGCTCCGCTCGGCGGGATCCCGCGCGCCCGCCGCCCAGCTCCCTCCCGCAGCCCGCGGCTCCTGCCGGGCCTCGCTGGGCGGAGCGGTGGGTGGGCCGAGGCAGCCCCCAAAGGCAGCCCTGGGGGGATGCAGGCGAGGTGGGAGGGAGACGGAAAACCTCCCGTCTGGGTCCTCCGAGGCCTGGGACCCTAGGTGTCCCCGCTGCCACGCGCCCCGGGCTCCGGGAGGCGCAGGGCCTCGGGCAGAGCGCGCCGCTGGCAGCGGACTGGCGCCGCCGCCTCGACCCTGCGGTCCAGGTCCCGGGGGCGGGGTGCAGGGGCGGGGCCGAGCTCGTCCCCCGCCCACCCGGGCGGCCCGCAGGCGGAGCCAGGGCGGGTGGGCGCCCCCGTTGGCGGGCGGGGCGGCCCGGCGACAAGATAAGAGCCCGGAGCTGCGAGGGACCGGAGAAGGAGCTTTGGTGGACGATCGGCGGTGGGATCCCAGGCGGAGCCAAGGCCGGGCACGCAGGTGAGGCCGGGCCGCTCCCTTCGCAGGCGTCCCCCGCACAGCCTTCGAGGGCGCCGCTCCCCACTCGGATCCCGAAGGCTGCGGCCGAGGGGCGCCTGGCAGGGGCGGGCGCCGTCGGGAGTGCCACATCCCGCAGGCGGCGGCGTCTCCAAAAGTGGCCAACAGTTGTGCACAGCGCCCCGCAACAGTGCCATTGGCGACCTTAAGGCGATCTGTGGCCGCGCGGCGTGTACACAAGAGGGGGTGGGGGCTGGTGTGCGCCCCTCGCGGGCCCTCGCCCGGCCCTGCCCCAGGCGGGGAGCGGTTCGGGCAGGGGGCGGCTGTCCCAGGCCTCCGTGCCGTGGACTCGGGGGCGGCAGCTGTGGCTGATTCCGCCCTTGAGCCAGACGCAGCGCAGGGCGAGGCGGACCCGGGCCGGCGGCCCCTGACCGAGCGCGGGTGGTTTTCCCAGGCAGCTGCTGCCTCTCGCGGGGTTTGGTCTTTGATTTTGAGATGAGGTGGGGCACGGGGTTGCGGGGCGTCCAGGCTGCCTGCAGGGAAGGACCGGAGCTCCGTTTCTGTTCTGGGTGCAGATCCACGCTTCCTCAGAACCACGTTCTGCTTCCTGTGCCCAAGCCTGGCCTCTGAGGTGGCGGCTTCGGGAGTGTGTGGGTTCACCCCAAATGCCCAGCCTGGGGTTTCCCGGCAGGTGGTCCTCGATGCCCTTCGAGGGCCGCTGTCAGAGCAAAAAGGCTGTGATCTGCCACCAGTTCAAGTCCATCCCTCCCCAAGCAGACCCCACAGCCAGCCAGTCCCACCCTCTCCTCTGGTGAAGCCCCTCCTGGGCCTCTTCACTCACCCTAGGAAAGTGCTGCCGGGTTTGTCATGGAGAAGCCGCGCAGAAGATGGCTTGTGCTCTGAGTTTTGTTCAAACTTGGATGAAGAGGGAAATTACCCCATTACTGCTGCCATCCTGCTCCCTTCTGCTCCTGTGTGTGTGTGTATGTGTGTGCGCGCGTGCGTGCGCACACACACACATATGCACGCGTGCACAAGTGTGTACAGCTGAAACAAAATGCCAGAAGAAGTATATTTGCAGCTGCCCTTGGCCTCGAGGGCCCCCCTGCTCTTGGCTGTGACTGTGTAATTTCTTCTGTTCTCCTGGATTGAAGTCCCCAGAGTTTCATGAACATAGCTCAGAGCCAGTTTCCCTGGTAAAGATGCTAGTTCAGGAGCTAGTCCTATAAATGTTCAGGTGCAGCCTGGCAGGAAGCTCTCACCAGGTGCGTCCAGGTGGGGCCACAGGCAGACAGGGCTGGTGCAGCCGTCCCTTGAAGGAAAGCATTGTCATTGTTACTTTTAATCATTGAGTTCCTGTGGCTGACATTAGTTTTAAAAATTTGCTCTCCACTTTCATCGCCAACTATAAAGAACACATACGTACAGTTGTGGCGTCTCACTGTTGAACACTCTTCGAGGATTGTAACATTGTTCCCTGGCACTGTGGGGGAGGGTGGAGGTAACATCTTGTGTTATGATTAAAACCAAATTCGAGATTACGCAGCCTTGCACTTTGATAGGAATGGGGAGGGCGCCGGGGGAGGAGGGCGCAGAGCAGGTGTCTGTCCCGAGCTTCCACAGCCCATCTCCCAGCCCTGCCAGGTGGGCTGGCCCAGTCCTAGCAGCCCCATCCCTGGTTGCATCCTCTCAGGGGCCTGGAATGTGTTTGTTCTGCTCCGAAGCAGCAGCTGTGAAAGCTTTACTCTCCATCAGGCCACCGGTGCATCGCCGTCCTGGCTGCTAAACCATTGCATTCCTGTGTGTGTTCATTTTCATGCCAGCTGAAGACCAAGAGCAACAGCGCACCGCGTTCCCGAGTCCAGGTCGCCCATGAGTCAAAGCAGATGCTCTGTTGCACTGATGTCTTCTGCTGTGGCCCCCGCTAAGGAGCCCAATGCCACCGGCCCGAAGGCGGTGGAACTGGTCCTGGTCAAGGAGCAAAATGGGGTGCAGCTCACCAACTCCACCCTCGTCAACCCCCCGCAGACCCCCGAGGAGGCCCAGGAACGGGAGACCTGGGGCAAGAAGATCGACTTCCTCCTCTCCGTGATCGGCTTTGCCGTGGACCTGGCCAACGTCTGGCGGTTTCCATACCTGTGCTACAAAAACGGCGGGGGTGAGTCGTGCTGCCCTCCCCGTGCGCTCCCCCAGGGCTGGAGCCAGGGGGCAGCTGGAGGAAGGGCTTTGGAGAAGCGCAGCATCAGCAGGGTGCAGGTCTCCCCGGGCGGATGTGGGGCTCAGGGATCTCGTGGCCTGTCACCGAGGCCAGGAAAGCAGAGGCAGGGGCTGGTGGTCAGAGGCACTTGGCTCTGCTTCTGTTTCCAAAGATGATTTCACTCTGGGAAAGAAGATCCTCAAAGGCCCAAAGAATGGCACCTGGCCAACTCACCAGTGTCTACAAAGTGCTCCAAGGCCCTTGAACTTGGAGTAGCCAAGATGCACCAGACGACTGCCTATCTCCCTCCCCTGCTGCCCCCAGTCCCTGAACAGCCAGTTCTAGAACCAGGATGCCTGGACCCCAGGCAGAAAACTAAGAAGTGGCACAGGGCCGCCCAAAATATTCAAGTTGAGAAGCCACTGGGCTGGTGCCAGGTTCCTGTGAGTTCCCCGAATGCTGCCGCTGGGCAGCCAGCCCTGCTGCACAATCGCAGGGCCTCTGGAGACCTCCTTGGGGTGGGGTGCCTTCCAGTGTGCCTGTGAGCCGGTGGGCATTACTGTCCCCAACCTGAGGGGAGAAGACTGAGGCCTGAGCAAATACAGAAGTTCCCCTAAGACATCTCCTGGACCCCCCTCCCCAGAAGCGAGCTGTGCAAAGCCCCACTCATCTGAGACAGAGCAAGAGGGCTTAAGGAGGCTGAGCCCGTGGGGCCCTGACGTTGGTGATCTGATGAGGAACTGGCTGCTTCCCTGGAGAGTCTCCAGCCCCCAGGGCAGCTCCTGCCCCCAGAGAGCTTGGGTTCTGAACTCAGGGCTCAAGATGAATGAAAGCCCCCAGGCAGGGTCGGATCCCAGAGGAATCACTACTCAGGAGGGCAGACGTTTGTGCAGGGGAGAGGGAGGGGCCGAGGGCGGGCCCCCGGCAGGGGAAGGGACGGCAGTGTCCTCTGGTCATCTGCTCCCATGCACGAATTGTAACTCGGGGTGGGAGGTGCCTGGGACCGCAGCAGGGGGTGTCAGGGCCCTCATGGCCGCAGGGCCGGGCATTAGGGCAGGAGGCTCACCCACGCCCGCTGCAATTTTCCTTTGTGGGGTGGACACACGGGAGCTTCAGGGAGAGACAGGGACAGGGCCCTGGGGTGAAAATGGCCATGCCCAAGCATGTGCCGGGCAGGGCAGCCGCGGCCGCAGTGAGGACAGGCCGCCCGCCCTCGGCCCCAGCTGACCGCTGTCGTGCCCCCAGGTGCCTTCCTGGTCCCCTACCTGCTCTTCATGGTCATTGCCGGGATGCCGCTGTTCTACATGGAGCTGGCCCTCGGGCAGTTCAACAGGGAGGGGGCTGCCGGCGTCTGGAAGATCTGCCCCTTACTGAAAGGTAACGGTGGGGACGCCCCCTTGCACCCGGTGGCCACAGAGCAGGGCGTGGCTGGAGCGCTTTCAAAGCGAGTGAGCCCGGGTTGTGAGCTTTGGGCCTGCTTCGCTGGGGCTCCACGCCCGTGCAGACGCTGCTTTGGTTCTGGTCCGACCTTGAAGATCCCTGAGGACCGAGCACTCGGGGTGCACTCCCTGGCCTCCAGGGAGGCCATGCTGTCATTCAGCAGCGATGTTATTTGGTCAAAGTGCTAAATGGTAGAAAAGATGAAACACTCACCTGTTGATCTGTCGTCTCTCCTCGGTCAGTTGTCCATCCGTCCATCTGCACTGGTTTGTTCCGCTGCCGTACAAAGTGCCACAAGCCGAGGGGCTTCAACAGCAGGGTCATTGTCTGGAAGTTCTGAGGTGAAGTCAGGGGATTGGGGGCGATCCCTTCTGAGGGCTGGAAGAGGGTCCAGGATGCTACCCGTGGGCCGTGGCTCGCGGCCTTCTCCCCGTGTCTTCACGTCTTCCCTGCATGTGTCTCTGGCCCTTTCCCGAGGGACGTCAATCACCCTGGGCTCAGGCCCACCCTGACAGCCTCACTTTAACTTGATTTTCCCTGTAAGGACCCTGCTTCCACATAAGTCCACATTCTGAAAAACTGGGGGTTAAAACAGCAACAAACAAATTTTGGAGGACACCGTCCACCCGTCACACTGTCCGTCCACCTGTCATCCATGCAGCCACCCATCAGTCTACTCGTCTATCCACCTACCATCTGTCACCCAGCTATCTGTCACATGCGGACCAATCGTCTGTCCACCCCCCCCCCACCGACCATATTGTACCTGCTTACCCAGCACCTGTCGTCTGTCTCTGTAGCTGTCATCTCTCCAACCATCTGGCTGTTCACTGAGCTGTCCCGGCTGCTAACATGATGCCCCAGCGCGTGACGCAAACAGCTCATGCTGAGTCCCGGTGGCGACTGGTGTCTGCTGACCGTCCGTGGTCCCCTGGCCCCAGGTGCCGTCTGTAGATGCAGGCGCTGGGGGTCAGGGGCTGGAGTAACTTACCCCGTCATCATCTGGACAAGGACAGGGAGATTCAATCCCAGACCTCTCTGACCCCCAGTCCAGCCTCCAGGTCACACCTGAGTCTCAGGAGCCGGTGGTCCAGGGAGGATTCAGGCATTTCCTCAAAGAGACCAGGGAGGTGCCTGCTTAGACAGCTGGCTTCGTTAAGAAAATGGTGATGCAAAGCCCAGTCTTTGGGTTTCCTTAGAAGTTCTTGCCAAGTCGGTGTGTTTGGAAAATGGAAGCCTTGGTGGGTCCCCACGGACGCGCCGTGGATGCGTCAGCGGGTTTACCCTGAGAAGGAACTGATGCGGCCGAAGAGTGAGGGCATCTTGCAGCTGCGGGGAGATGCGGGGAGTCCTCCAGGAGAAAATCGCCCTCAAGGCAGCAGAGCCATTGCGTTCACCCTGTCCTCCCAGGTCCGCGGGGCAGCGAGCATCTCTCGGGCAGGCACCACACTGGGCCTGCAATGCGGTCAGTATTTACACAGTATTAAGGCGCCTAGTCGGAAATGAAGTGGCCCCCCTTGAGCGGCCATCCTGGGGGCTGCCGAGGAAGGACACAGGCTGTGTGTCAAACCGTGTCCTCATCTCTGGATTTCTGAGAGCCGACCCCTCGAGTCTGAGTATGCTGTGAGATGTGACGTAACCCTGTGCCCCGCCTCCCACCAGGGAGTCCAAAGCTCAACCAAAGTAAAGCCACCTCGTTCCTAAGCGTCCAGGCGGGCAGAGCTCGGGCCAGGGACTCAGGGAGTAAAAGGGCGCCCACCGTGGGGCTGTGGGCCAGCAGAGGGAAGTGAATTTCCGGCTGTACGTCCTGCCACAGAAGGAATTTTCCCTAACAAAGCTGCCAGCTTATAAAAACGTCGGTAAGTGATTTCCAAGGATCTCGGAGGACTAGTAAATCCTGATGAACGTGGCTGCTACGGAAAACCTGCCTCCAGGGGGTATGACGGTCAGCCCTGTCCACGGATCAGTCCCGAGAGTAGATGCGGGGCAGCCAGCTCGCCCAGCAGCGCAGCAGCAGCGCCTGGAGAGCCGGGCAGATGAGGACAGGCTCCACCACGTGCTCCACGTCATGGCCCTAGATTCAGGCTCCTGCATCCCAGGTTGGTCTCATCCAGGTCTGCAAACTCATCCATGTGGAGGGATGTGCATGGCCAAGGGAGGCCGCAGAAGCAGTGCCATGTGTCCCCCATGGGCAGAGTCTCGGCCAGAGCCTGGTCACCCCGTCTCCTAAGCAGGAATCAAGAGAAATCGCAAATCACTTCAGGTCAACTGTGGAGCCCGAGCTCAGCACGGGGCGGTGTCCGGTGGGGGCCGGGGAATCCGCGCAAGGACTTCTGCCTGTGAGGAGCAGACATCTCGACGAGTTCAACGCTCGCAAAGCTGCGGCTCCTGGCAGGGGACTCCCTGCCCGTTCAGGGCGAGTTTCACCCACTGGGTAAGAGGACGCCCGCTCGATAGGACGCTGGTGTTGCCCCTTGCATTTGGTGAGGCCAAACCTCGCTGTTCGGGAAACCCTGATACACATGCCTGCCCTTCCTTCTTTCTCTTTTTAAAAACTCAGTAACATCGCAGGTGCTTTCGCCTGTCATTGACTAGGGGACACGCGGTAAACGAAGACATCAGTTACAAAGCCCTTCATGGTCTCTGTGGAGCTAAAAGAGGTGGTCCAGTCCTCCAGTGGGCGGTCGGCGCGTCTGGGCCCCTGTAAAGTCCCCCCTGTGGGAGCAGAGCCCAGCTCTCCAGGGAGCCTGCTCCCCCGTCCTTCCCTCCCTTGGACCTGGGAGCCCCTCCGTGTGCCTGACTGCACTGAGATCCACCCGAGAAAGCCAGACGGTGAAGTGCATGGTCAGAGTGAGGGCCCTCGGGGGCCGGACGTCATCCACAGTCCCCTGCACAATCTCTCCAGAGCCCCCCGGGTGGGCACGCAGCTGCAGAGGCCCCAGGTGGCCCTCGGCACCCAGTGTCATCACAGGGCCTGGGAGGAGGGCTCTCAGAGCCCTCTCCCCCGCCCCTCGTCTCTGTCTGCATCTGCCTCCCCCCATCCCTGGCCCTATCATTCTCTGTCCCTCCCCGCCCCCACACCTCTCTCTCTGGTGCGCATGCACACACACGTGTGCACAAGTATGCACTCTCATACACACATACACAAGTGCATGCACACACATACATACACATTCACGTGTGCACATGCATGAACACACCCCCCCCAAGCAGACACTAAAGACACTCGGACCACCAGAGGAGGAACTCTCTCCTGTTTCCTCGGAGACCCGTGGTGACTCACCAGGAATAGGTCCCCTGCTTGGTTAGGGATGTGTTCTCCAGCTGGTGTCCTGGGAGTACTGCTTACCTGTGACACCCTCTTCCTCCTGAAGCCAGCCCTGGGGGACACTCTGGAGTGACCTGGCTCTCGTGGTGGAGGAGGGGGACTGTGCTGCTCTGCTGAGGTCCAAGAATGCACCTCAGGTTGTCTGGGTCACCGCCGCAGGCGCCCCCTTTGTGTGTACAGTGTGGCAGCATCACCACCCCATTTTATCAAATACAGAATAATTCATTATATTTTGTAGTCAGTGATATTGATGATTTACCAAACTTCCTCTCCTTCTCAAAATAATTTAAAGAGGCCTAAGATAAAATAGAATGCACACAAAGTTGATATAAAGATGCTTAAAAAACGGAAACGTAAGAAAACTGACGTTAAGTGTTGTGGTTGAGACTCACACTGAGCCTCGGCTTCCTGCGTGTCAGACAAAAGAGGAGCAGGTCAAGTTTTCATCAATATTTTCACTGGAAAAGTTAGAGGGGACTGAGCCTGCACCTTCTTGGGAAAGAAGTTCCCGTGGAAGACAGTGGAAGAAACGCATCAGACGGTACTTTATTAGAAGATGTGGTAACACGTGAACAGCGGTCACAGGAACATTCTCAGAACAAACAGGACCGTGCATTTCATGTGGCTGGGCTACAAGTGACGTGAAGGAGGAACCTGAAGGCCCGTGGCTTCCTGAGGCTCTGTGGTCCTAGAGGACAGAACTCTGGTGACCAGACGAATGGCCGACACCACAGCCGCTGTCCTGGGGAATCGGCCCGCCCCCAGGTCCCTTGGGGCAGCTGGACCACGGCGCAAGGAGGCTGTGCCTTTGGCGGGGGGAGCCTCTGGGGCTGTGCTGTGCTGCTGGTGGGGCAGGTCCTCAGGCTCTGGGAGCCCCGTCAGCCCGTGGTGCCCTTGTCGCTGTTGTGAAAGTCGAGAAGCCCGGCCTGCCCAGGTGGAGGGCTGTGCACGTGGTGCCGGTTCCAAAGGACCAGCCCTCCCTTCGGACACCGGACTTGGGTCTGCCTAGTGTTTGAGCAAAAGCCCCTTTGAATTCCCAGCGTTTCGAGCTGAGGGTTTGCTGTGCAGAGTGTTCGCCTTCCAAAGATCACAAGCCCGGATCCACAGCCAGCTCACCGCCGGGAAAACCCTCCGCGACACTCCTCGGAACAGCCCCGAAGGCTCGGCCCCCCGGGCCTGCCCGCTGGGACTCCGCCGCCTCCTCAGGAGCGGGCGAGCGGGAGTGTTCCATCTTGGAGAGGGCCTCCCGAAGGGAGCGCATGGGTCCTGCCATCACTGCTGCCAAGCGTGTCTTCCAAGGGGGATGACACATGAGTGTATTTCAGGTAAATCACCCCCGACTGCAGCCTCAGGAAGCCACGGGCCTTCAGGTTCCTCCTTCACGTCACTTGCAGCCCGGCCACACTCTGATATTGAACTCCTGTGTCTAACATCCACACACAGACGGATGGTGGTGCCTCTCTTTTTGCTTTCAGGGTAGGAAGCAAACTCTACCGAAGTGTCCTGAGCATGAGAATAGCTCAGGTTTTGTCAGTTGCACCCATAAAAGCAAGCCAGGCCACTCCTGCAAAAGCTGTGCTCCGCCCCGGCCACCAGCAGGCAAGACAGGGCCTGGCACGGGGGAGCTGCAGCCCGAGCCAGTCCTCCTCGCAGAGCTGGGAAGGGGTGTGGAAATAAAAGAACTCTGCGTGGGGCTGGATGAAGTAGACGTGACAGTGCTCGTCCAGGGAGGACCTCGAATAGAGAGGGGCTCCCTGACCAACAGAAGGTCTTCTAACTGCCAGACCGTCTGCCCCCCACAGTCAGGCTGGCACAGCTCAGAGACTGCTCGCCACTCTGTTCTGCTCCACGAGTCAGTGACTGTTCCAGACTCCAGGTGTTGTGGTCCTGAAAAGTCACACTGAGAGGCCCTGGTGACCATAAGAGACCCTGGAGGGTCGTATATGCATGACGCCGGCGGCCCTGGATGGTCGTGCACGGCCCTGGGTGGCGTTAGGTGGTTCTGTAGCTGTGTGGACCCAGATGGCTCTGCCCTGGGTAGTCTTGAGGGGCATGACGGGCCGTGGGTGGACACGAATGACTCTGGATGGCCCTGGGAAGCCCAGGTAGGCATGGATGGTCTCGGATGCCCTCGATGGTCCTGGATGAGCCTGGGTGGCTGTGGTTGGCTGTGGAAGACCCTGTTGTCCTTCAGTGACTCTTGGTGGCCTGGACGGCCATGGGTGACCCTGGATGTTCCTGGGTGACCCTGGAGGGCCCTCTGGCCCTGTTGGCAAGGGCAGCCCTGGAGGTCCCTGGGGGGCCCTGAATGGTTGGGGGTGGCCTTTGTTGACTCTTGGTGGTGTTCTGTATCCCTGGGTGGCTGTGGGCGATTCTGATGGTTTTGTATGGCCGGCGGCCCTGGGTTGGGTGGCCCTGGGTGGCCCAGAGTGGCCCTAGGTGACCGTAAGAGAGCCTGCATGAGTGGCTGTGAGAGGCGTGGGCAGCCACGGGCGGGCCTTAGCTACCTGTGTGTCTGCAGTGGCCTGGCTGTGCCGGGGGTCCTGGGTGCCCCTGTGTGTCTGGTAGACGTGGACGGCCGTAGATGCGCGGGAAGGGCCACGTGATGACGGCGCGATTGCACCCCCTTCCGCTCGTCTTCCCGAGCGTCTGAAGGCGGCTGGGGCGGGGCGGCGGGGGCTGACGGCGCTGCATCCCGCAGGCGTGGGCTACACGGTCATCCTCATCTCGCTCTACGTCGGCTTCTTCTACAACGTCATCATCGCCTGGGCGCTGCACTACCTCTTCTCCTCCTTTAGCGCCGAGCTGCCCTGGACCGGCTGCAACAACTCCTGGAACAGCCCCAACTGCTCCGACGCCCGCAGCCCCAGCCCCAGCCCCGGCCCCAACGACTCCTTCAGGACCACGCCGGCCGCCGAGTACTTCGAGTGAGTGGGGCCCTGCGGGTCCTGCCGGTCCGCC